CCTTATGTTTTGATGATCTAACAAACTTACTGTTGAGAATTAGATAGGGAACCTGACCTACTTGAATTGCTGTAAGCTTTAACGGATTCCAGCTAAAGGTGAATTGCTACAGCTTCAGGAGCTGGAAACCAAAACAAGGACCTGATGCTCTTGTGGTTTCCTCATAGCAGTACAAAGTCATTGGGACACAGCTGGAAATGAAGTGACTGACGGCACTGTTTTTGCCCCACTGCACTGCACTGTCCGCCCACTCATTCTCTAACCAAACAAAGTACTCACATCACTTCAAGTGATGTGATCAAGATGTACCCACAAGGAGCTTTATACAAAACATGACTAGAAGGCTTCTGTTTCTCATTCAAGTCTCTTGCAAAAAACAGAAAAATCAATCCTCACAAGCTTGAAGAACAAGGTTGAGCACTACTACGGACCAGTTCCTAATAAGATAGATTGTTGTTGTCCTAATTGACTTGTAACCTTGTTATTATACTTACTGTATCTCCTAAACTGCTTACCTAGAAGCATTTTGATTAGGAATCCTCTTGTAAATCCGTAAACTCCTTGAGTTTATGTTGTGACTAGATTTAGTCATAAGGAAAAGTCTTTGTAATCGTAGAGTTACAAAGTGGCTTGTGGTGATAGCATCACAAGTTAGAAAAAGCCTTTGTAACTAGGATAGTCACAAAGTGGCTTGTGGTAAAGGTACCACAAGTTAGTTGAGTAAATCCTTTGCAATAGGAAGTATTGTAAAGTGGCTTGTAATAGGTAGATTACAAGTTAGTGAAGTTAAAAGCCTAAAGGTGTAGGTCGTGGTTTTTTTGATCCCCTTTTGTGGGATTTTTCCACGTAAAAATCCTCTGCCTCATTTACATATTGTTTTATTAAGTACTCTCAGTTGAACCTTGTAGAGGAACAGGTACTCTACGATTTGGTGGATCCATACAAACTAACAATTTGCCTTTGGGCTTTTTCACACCAGCCGCACCACCAGGTGCTAAAACCTTTTGAGCCTTCTTCTTTTTCTTATTGCCTTTCGACTTAGAAACCGAAGCTTTCTCAACATTGAGTGCCACAACTGGAGCTTGGTGTTTGATAATAGATTCTGCCTCTTGCAGCTCATTCAACAAGTTCGCTAGTGACAAATCCATTTTGTTCATATTATAGTTCAAGCGAAACTGTTGAAAACTGTCAGGCAGAGTCTGCAGGACCATCTCAACTTGAGACTCCTTATCAATCACAGCTCCAAGGACCTCCAGTTCATTCAGAAGACTCATCATCTTCAGAACATGGTCCCTGGCCGATGATCCTTCAGCTATCTTAGTGTTCAAAAGGGCTTTCATGACTGTCTGCTTAGCTGCACGATTTTGCTCACCGAACATCTCTTTGAGACTTTCGAGCATATCATAAGCAGACCCCATAGACTGATGCTGATGTTGCAAAACATTCGCCATAGAGGCAAGAATGTAACATCGCGCCATCTCATCAGCCTTAACCCATTTGTCATAGGCCTTAACCTTATCATCAGTAGCATTTTCAAGTTTTTCTGGGAACTCCTCAGTGATTACAAATTTGTAACCTTCAGCAGTTAGGACAATATCAAGGTTCCTTTTCCAGTCAACATAATTCGGTCCTTCTAACTTGTTTTGGTTCAAAATTGAGGTAAGTGGGTTGAATGAAGACATGGTTAATCTGAGAGATACTCACATTAAATAGATCATTAGTTATGTATTTAGAATAATTAAATTCAAAACAGCACATTACACATATAACCATGCTCATTGAACAGTTAGATTCGTTAGGGAAACTTAACTATTCATGCAAAATATATGAGTGATGTAAGATATTAACCCCATAAATTTAAACAGGACCAACTCAGATGGAGAGTAAACTGTTAATTTAAGATAGGTAAGTATCACTTTTATAAACTCTAGTTTCATTCAATCAACATGTAACTCAGTTGGAGAGTTAATACAAGTAATCAAATAACTAGAGGCAAAACTACAGTAATCATCTAAATGAATTTATCCGATGTTGAAGAAGACCTATGTCAACATATAAATTTATTATATTACTGTAAAACATGATTAGAAACAATGGGAATTGAACCCTACCATCATAGATTTCTTTTAAAATTTTTTTTATTAAAAAAAATTTCCAGAAAATAGAAAAATGGCCAAAAACCATCTAAACGACCCCGAATGCCCAAAAACCGACATACCTCATGGGCTTTAGCCGATGATTATTGCTCACTAGGCCGTTTTCGATGAACATACCAAATTTGAGGTCAATCGGAGTTCGACAGAATTTCAGAATTCTAAAATTAAGACCGATTTCTAGAATTCAATTTTGGCGTTTTATGGGTTTTTATTATTTTGACTTGTTCAAATCACATAATATACTGATGTATGTTAACACATGATTTCAGAACTCAAAATAATATTTTTTATTTTTGTTTAATAAAAACGTGTTTAGACAGAATTGTAAAAACAGTATGTTTTTCACTAGTCAAAAACACCACTGTTCATAATTCTGTATATTAATCCAAAATTACAGAACTAATATCGTACAAAATAGTCAAGTTTTTATCAATATAACACTGTGATTTATGAAAAACTGCAACTAAAACAGATTAATGGAATTAATTCACTGTTTGTGCATATGTATATTAACCCATATTACAGAATTAATAGCAATAAAAAATAGTCAAGTTTTTATTGAAAAACAGATTGCTCTTGATCAAAAAACATAATTAAACAGACTGTCATATAACACTACTGTTTATACATGTGTATATTAATTCATAATTTCAGAATTACAGAATTAAGATACTAATAAATACAATCACGTTTTAAACATAGAATAGTCATCCCAAACATGTATCAATAAACAACACGTTTTAATATTACTCTATGCATGTTGTATTATATTATCTAGTTAGATGTAAGACGGCGTCTAATACCAATTGTTAGAACATGCGCAGCGGAAGCAAGCATACAATCCAGGCATCAAATACATGTAAACTAGACAACGCAATAATAATAGGATTAGAATCACTAACCTCTTGAAATAGTTGCACAAATCCTCCAAACAGCAAGAATCCAGGGCTGCAGTCTTCCGCTATATGCCTGGTAAAACCTTTGGATGATTTTGCTTTTGGGTGGGCAAGAACAATACAACTAAAGGTAAGTTATTAGGTAAAACTAGTCTTCCTTTAATAGACCCGAAATTAAGCCACAATAGGGGCTCAAAAACGTGTAGGATTCTGCAAGTAGAATCCTACTCTAACTCAAAAGGATAACTTTTCTCCCAAGCTACTTTTACCCAAGTTTGTCCAGGTTTTTACTAGGTATAGCAGGGACCACAGAAATAATAAGAGACTACTAATTATAGTATTAATTCGAAATTAGCATGAATTAATTCTTACTATAATTAATTGCAATTTATTCCACTAAAAAACTGCAATTGAACTCCTCAATATGAATTTTGAAAATTCATTAACACTTATTTTAACTCCCCATGTTAAGATTTCAAATACTAGTTAATTAAATTAAATCACTGAAAATTTAATTCAATAAGCTAATTAAATCCTTTATAATTCCGCTTAAACCATTTCATGTGACGGATACAAAATCCATCGGCCGGATTTTCACATAAAAACTTATAAGCTTACATAAAGGGGTATTATCAAACTAAAAACCGAGTCATGGATTCTATCAACTAATTATTATTTCACAAATATTTTTTCGGTATTGTCCAATCTATTAGGCATACACTAACTCTAAATAGAGTCGTACCTTTTGATAAATCAAAACAATAAACAAATTACATTGATCATAATAATTATATCAAGATTAGGAGTATAAGCTCATTTAATGAATTAGAGAAAATATTTTATATATTCAGTACAAAAATATCTTTTCTCTACTTGGTCCGTTCAATATACACTGAGTACACTAGCACAAAAAGTTGGAGTAAAACTACTCCCATAATCAAGACAAATTATACGATAATCTTGTGCTACAATCATCAAGATATTTTGTCCAACAATATCTTTAATTGTGGACATAGTTTATTAATTATGAGAACCAACAATTTAATCTTCTGTGCATGAGCTAAGACTCCATACACTAAATTGTCTACTACATAACTAAAAGGACACACATGTAACAAATGATCTATTTAAAATAGTACTTTATTGAATTGAATAAATTAAATAAATAATTATTCCATAAAGAATAAAATATAATAGTATGTCTAAACCGCATGGTTAATAGTATATCCCAATAATTTCCCACTTAGACTCATAACCATGCGTCTACTACTCTAACACCCATTCCTTCTGCATGCTTGTCAAAAATCTTCTGTGTCAAGCTCTTTGTAAACGGGTCTGCCAAATTGTCCTCTGACGCAATCTTCAACACTCTTTCATCACCTCTCTGAGTTATGTCCCGAATTAAGTGATATTTACGCTCAATATGCTTAATCCTTTTATGGCTTCTTGGTTCCTTCGAGTTTGCAACTGCACCACTATTATCACAATAAAGTACAATTGGTGCTTGAACCGAAGGAACCACATTAAGCTCTTTCAGAAAGTTCCTGAGCCAAACAACCTCTTTAGCTGCCTCAGATGCAACCACATATTCGGCTTCCATGGTGGAATCAGCAACACATGATTGCTTGATGCTCCACCAACATATGGCTACACCTCCTAAGGTAAAAACATATCCTGAGGTAGATTTTCTAGAGTCTCTATCTGACTGGAAATCTGAATCAGTATAGCCAATAGGTGCAAGATCACCTGAGTGATACACCAACATATAATCCCTAGTCCTTTTCAAGTTCTTGATTATATGCTTAACAGCAGTCCAGTGTTCTCGACCAGGGTTAGACTGAAAACTACTTACCATGCCAACAACAAAGCAGATGTCAGGTCTAGTACATAGCATAGCATACATAAGACTCCCTACAGCAGAAGCATAAGGGACCGCATTCATCTTTTCTATCTCATCAGTCGTTTTTGGGGACTGATCTTTTGACAGAGAGATTCCATGTCTAAAGGGGAGAAAACCTTCCTTGGAATCTTGCATGCTAAACCTGGTGAGAATAATATCAATATAAAGTGCTTGGGACAAGCCTAATATCCTTTGCTTGCGATCTCTCATAAGCTTGATCCCAAGGATATGTGCTGCCTGTCCCAAGTCTTTCATATCGAAACGTGAGGACAACCATTCCTTTACTGAATTCAACATGCTCACATTATTTCCTATGAGCAAAATTATCATCTACATACAAAACCAAAAATGTAACTTTATCTCCATTCCACTTCTTATAGACACAAGACTCATTTTCACATCGATCAAAACCGAAGGTTTTAATCGATGCGTCAAAACAAGTGTTCCATGCCCTAGAAGCTTGTTTCAATCCATAAATGGATTTCTTTAATTTACACAACATGTGCTCATTTCCACTTTTTATGAAACCAACTGGTTGTGCCATATAGATGCACTCATCAAGACTTCCATTTAGAAAAACGGTCTTGACATCTATTTGCCAGATCTCATAATCGTAATGAGCAGCAATGGATAAGAGAATCCTAATGGATTTAAGCATGGCTACCGGCGAAAAGGTTTCCTCATAATCGATCCCTTCATTTTGAGTATACCCTTTTGCAACAAGCCTAGCTCTAAAAGTTTGCACTTTTCCATCCACTCCTCTCTTTTTCTATAGATCCATTTACAACCTATGGGTTTGACTCCAGTAGGTGGTTCTACAAGATCCTAGACNAATGGAATAGAACCCTCTATTTATAGGGAGACGGTGACTTAGCCACCAAGTAATAAACCCTAGAATCTCTCTAAATATAGACATTCACCATAAATAAAATTCTATTTATAACACTCCCCCTTGAATGTCTATTTAACAGATAATGTGCCTCGTTAAAACCTTAACTAAAATAAAACCCAGTGGGAAAAAAAATTCTAGAGAAGGAAAAAGAGTACACATATCTAACAATACGCCTTTTGGTTGCCTCGTTAAAAACCTTGCAAGGAAAACCCAGTGGGACAAAACCTTGTAAGGAAAAAAGAGTGCAACGCGCATTAACTCCCCCTGATGAGAGCATCAATTCACATCCTTAAGCATTTGCATTCCAATCTTGTGCACCATCTTCAAAAGATATTTGGTAGAGATTTGATGAACAATCAGCCATATTAACTTGAATGAATATATTGCACCTTGAAATCATCATTCTTGATAGAGATGAATTGTCTTCATATGATCTTGTTGGAATCGTCAATTCAATATCTTCACATAGGGGTGAAAACTCTTGCTATCATATTATCATGCATATAGTTATAGCAAGATACATTTGTGCACAAATTGCACTGAGGATGTAGTACTTCATGACCATGAGTTCTATATGCATTAAGCAATTTAAATCCTTCAGGGATTGTTAAGTCATATAAGCCATATAATAGACTTTAGATGCATATCAAGTTTTCATGTCATGCCAGACATATAAGATACATTAAGGTGATAGCACACGCCATTGACTTTATACTTTTAAGTGTTTGAACTGCAGGTCCAAAACTACTTGTCTTTCATATGAAACCAAATTCTACTTGAATTGTTTCTCCAGACTTAAGATCCTCATATATATTTAGCGGTATCTGTGACGATCAGG